TTAATAAACTGTGAACAAATTCTTATACGATACTTCAAAGGCATTTTTAAGATATACCATAAATATTTTAGTAGTTTGTTGAACGAGTTCTACTGAGACAACCATTTTTCGTCACAAGTACCTGCATAATGACATCATTTTCTCATTGTGAGAAAAACTTTATTCAGCATATGCTATTTATAGAACTTGTGTGCACCAAATTTGTTTCTAATCTAATTTGTGGTTTTGTAGATACACATGTATAGAGATAGTTCGCGAACTTTTTGATCACCCCTCGTACTAGTAGGTACTAAAACAAGGTCATTCATATCGATTTTATGTGTTTAATGTCTTTGTGTTTCAATGGTGATAATTAAACTTTTGATAGATATTATAAGTTATCTGTGGCAAACTTACAAACTCTTAATTCTTAACTTTGATGGTGCTCATTTTTCCTTACCTGGAGTCAAAGAGTTTAAGATTTTTTTTATATCAATAAGTACACTATTTAACAACTGTTCGATAATAATACTAAATAAATTACTTCAAGAAACACTATAACACATTTCCTCTTTTAAAAGCGTTCATATTATTTGAAGTATTTTGCAACTGTAATTCTCTTCTACATTTAAAGATTGTTATGTCCCTCCATATTAAGAAGAGGTCTGGAAAACAAAATTCTGTGCTAAAAATAGACCACGTGCTGCTATCAATGAACTACTTTCTTGGTTCTTTACACTCTTTTTGAAGACAACGATACCTTGTTTTGAACTTGAAATTATCATTTAAAAGTGCAAAATTTAGACATTTTCTCAACAAATGGTTGTAGAGAGAACATTAATGCACAGTTTGCGTATTTTTTTGGATTTTTTAAGGCTTTGCTGAATTCTGTAGCCGCGCAGTTCTAAGGAGCATATCAAAAGCATTTTTCTGCAAAAGTTTAGATTATATATGCACAACATGCATTCGGTTATGCATATTTATTGTATCTTTATCAAAAAGACTTAAAATTTGATCAAAATATAATGTATTTTAGCCATTTGAAGAAATGTTTACATTTTGCTCTCACTGCACTAAAGGTGGCCGTACATCCCCCTTAAGCGTGAAAAGAAGAAAACACTTGATGTGGCCTTCAACTCGACATTCAGATATATCGACGACGTATTGTCAGTTAACAATGGTAATTTCCATTCGTATGTCGAAACGATATATACTGGTGAACTTAAGATAAAAGATACATGTACCAAAGAGTCTGACATCTGTTTCATATTTAGATGTTTTACTTGAAAATAAAAGTTCATGGTAATCTAACAAACAAGCTACATAATAAACGTGATGACTTTAACTTTCCAATCGTCAACTTCCCTTTATACTTATGCAGCAATATGCCATCATTACCTGCATGCGGAGTTTATATATCTCAGTTGATTCGATACGCAAGATCATGCTATACGTATGATCAATTTCTTAGACGAGGTAAGTTATTGACATACAAGTTAATGAAACAAGAATATCAGCAGTTTCTTTTAAGTCATCATTTTGTAAGTTCTATGGTCGATACTATGACCTTGTCAGCAAATACAGTTTATCATTAATAAGTCAAATGCTGACTGACGTTTTGCGCACTAATTGTTAGTCCAATATATATTCACTGAATTGAAGACGGATTCTCCCGTTATTTCCCGATCATGACAAGAAGCACATAGTGATCCCACCTCTAATGTTTTGGAGGTCCGTGTTGCTCTGCTCCTATTTTGAATTATTTTATTAATTTTTGATGTTGAATACTCTTCGTTATCTCCATATGTTTCATGTTAAAAAAGATAAACCAAAAAAAAATATATACAAACAAACAAACGATTGAATCTGATATATCTTAGAAGTTTTATAATTTTTCAACATTTGATAAATCTTGAAAGAGAGATCCAGTTTTGAAGATATCAAAGTAAATATAGGATGCCCTCTTAATATGGATATTCCGTTTATAGACATGTTTAAAAGTGATTATCATTTTCGGCATCGTTATAATTACAATGTATAATAAATAATACAAACAGAAGTACACTGCCTTACAAAACTGTCTGTACAATGTACATGTAATCGAAAGTTTGAGTGGTAATCACTTTTCCGTTTCGTGTGCATTTTGAAATTTATAGCCTCGGGCCTTCAAGAATTCTACAGTTGCATCTCTTCCACACTAAAATGAAGGAAGAAACAAAAAAACTGTATTTTAAAAAAGAGATAGACAATAAAATTTATCCAAATCTAATTCAACTTTTCAAAAGGGTAGCATACCTGAACCAATAGTTTTCTGTCATCGTCTTCCATGTCAAAGTCAAGACCTGAGATGTATTTTGTGTTTACCCCGACTGTCCTGGGAATGTCTGTTATCTGTATCACAAAATTCAGAACAAGGTTAGAAGAGATCTAGAAATGCTGGAATAAATAATATCCCCCAAAATTATATAATCAGGACTTCTATAAAAAAATATGTCAAAATTTCGGTATGAATTCTGAACAGAGTAACCATTGAAAGATATCTTTACATTCACACATACTTGAAATTTTAATAAAATACTAGTAATTTAAAATAACACATTTCAAATAACAAAAGAATAAAGTGCATTAAGGTATTTCCATCCTCCTATGTCATATAGGTTTTTGCGAAAACTGTTATTAAAAATTCATACCCAATAGAACAAAGTTTTTTGAAAGATTGCTTTTCAAGAGGTGTAATGATAAATATTGTTGAGTAAAAGAATTTGAAAAATCTTTTTTTCAATTTTAATCAATATTTCAATCTTTAATAAATAAATGTTGACAAGGGCAATAACTCCTTCTCAGATAACTTCATTCAGACATTTACTTTATTGTACATTAAATGTCAAAAAGCGACCCTGATATTCACATTTCAAAATTATCTTAGCAAGTAGCAAGTATTTGGAACTTTTAGTATCAGAATTGTGCATTTCAACCAATTTTTGCATAACATTTTACAATACTATTTTCAAAAAATTTATAATTTTTTTCATGTTGACATACACTTCTGTTTATTTAAGTCTCCCGTCTTAAATAATATGGCGACCAATAAATTTTTTTGCAATAATTGGTAAATTTAAATTATAATAAATGAAAAAAAAACAGTTTTTGTACTTTTTAAATTGTGAGGGTGGAAAGACCTTAAAGAATAAATAAATGATAAAATGATATGTTGACAATCTGTGATGCTTTTTTGTACCTTCATATAGATTCTGCTTGAATTCAGCATCATTGTTTTGAGTATGGAGCCTAAGAACTCTGTTGGTGTTTCCGAAAGTTTGTAAGAAAATCCACTGTACCACTGATCTACACTGTAGCCGGTGTTCCTTGTGATGAATCGATTTATGTCCGAAAATTCTATCTAAAATAAATCATTTAGTAAATTGTACTTATCATATAGTACATTTGGGAAATAAGAAATTTGATCATGGGGAGTTGGGCGCAGGTGAAGAGAAGCATGAAAAGCATGACAAATCAGGTACAAATCAAACAAATCAAGTAATTACGCAATGTGTATATTGTAGTATAGTGGTTAAAGCAGAGAAATAGTCCCCAAAGTAGTGGTTAGAAGAAAAAGGAAGACAAGCTGAATTTTTTTCAGAATAAATCTTTTTTTGTTTCCCCCAGGTAGAAAAAAGGAACCACATGTACAAGTGAGTTTATTGTCCCTCTGTTTATCTGTCTGTCGGACAGTCTCTAAATACATTGCATGTTTACAAGATTTGTTTCTCCTAGGCTTGCTAAATTTGAATCTTTTGACTGTATGTGATTCTACTTTAATTAAGTACTGGTCAGTCGCTCAGCTTTTTTCTTTCATGTTTTAGAAATCACGTCCAACACAAGTAGGAAAACGACCTGCTTTTACACTACTTCCAGAATTTCTTTATTACAAATCATAGATACCTTTCCGCATTCTCTCTGTGTTAAGTATGCCCATACTTGTGTTGGACTTCTGTCTCCGAATAAATCCTCAAAAACGTCTGTCTGTTGACCTTTAAACTAAACCAGAATATACCAATATAACAATTGTCAAGTAAGATCTGCTTTTTTGATTTATATATATATATATATATATATATATATATATATATATATATATATATATATATATATATATATATATATATATAATAAGTTCCATCTCTGTACACCTGAAGACGGATTATGAAATCCAGAAATTTGGAAATATATTTATATACATAACCAACCCTTTCCAGTTCGTCAATGAAGTCTGCCATTTCTAGCTTGTTTTCTCTATCCTTAGCAGCAACTAACTTCAAAATGGAACATTTGGAAAAAAAAATTGTGCAATTTATCTCGATTATATGTCATTTATTAAACATGTATGAGATATTTCAACAGCTAGAACAGCTTTAATATTTTGTCCTTTTCGAGAACCTTTTTGCAGTTTTTTTCTGTGTGATTTACGTCATGAGCCGTCTAATACGTTTAACTACCGATTAATTAAGACTCATTTTACCTTCAGAAATATCATCAAATTTTTGTTATCACTGTCACTAATGGGTTCGTTCGAGGCCAAGAATTTTCTAAAAAATAAAAATAAATCTAATGTAATTCTCCTTATTTTTCTAAGTACTAATAAATATACAATATCCTGAAATACACACGTATGTAAATTGAAAATATTTTGATTTTGCATTCCGAACGTGGTACCTTTTCAGCTTTGTATTTATGTCTTTGAACACTTCGTCGCATGTATCCGGTTCTAGGATTTCCAGTTCTGTTACAGAGGAGCTCTTAGACGATCCGTCTACTATATCCGTTTCTGGAATGTCCAGTTTAGGGGGTTGCTCTGTTCTAGAACATCTTCCAGAAGAGAGTCCGTTTACTGAATCCGTTTCTGGGATATCCAGTTTAGGAGGCTGCTCTGTTACAGGTGTTAGATTATTAATCCCTTCCTTTACTTCATAATGTCTTCGATATAACCTACTTTCTTTATCGGCGAACTGAAAAAGCAACATAGTCGCTGATAATGTGTATTGTTTTATTTCGAAGTCTTAGTTGTATAGTCATTTAAATGACTACTAGTATCCATTGTCTACCAGAGAGTAGAATAACAAATTGAATTTAATGAAGCCAACTGGGATTTTTTTTGTATTCTGTTATATTGAAAGGTGAAAATACAAAACAATGAACATAGAAAAAAAGACTACACAGTATAGAAACGCATTTTGCAAAACGAAAACAATTCAGGTGGTTACTTCTCCGTTCGCAATATTAATTGGTTGTTGAGCGTTAAATACGGTCCCTAAATCGAGCAAGTACTAGTAATCATGGACCGTTTTAGAAAAAATTAAATCAGATAAACATTCACGTGATCTTGATATCATAAACAAAAACAATTAATCAGATGAGCCAAGTATTGATATCAGAATGACACATAACTTACCAATACAAAACCCAAAGTCTTTAATAAATCTTCATCGTTTTCAGGTTTAAATCTACTCTCATATATTTCGGGCATTCTATCAATGTCGTTCAACTTTCTGAAGAAGGAATCCTCTGGTTTCATTGAAAGCCACCATCCTGCAGATTTTAAGACATTTAGGAAAATCAGTGTTGGAATTACAGTACTTGTATTATACATGTATGAATAAGACCATGATATTGGAACCCTTTACGTTTGGTAAAATATCAGTACCATCAAAGCAGAAAATTGGGTAAATACACAGCATTCCCCCATCAATATACACCGATTTTCTACCACAACTGGCGTTCATCGGTTGGACGTGCTCAAATAACACTGAAATTTAAAAAAAAAATTGGAAGCATTTCAGAATTTTCTAATACAGTGTATATCAAAAAAATAATGTTTTGTTAACCGTTCAAATGCTTTGGGAATTTTTTTTTTGGAAATAAGGATCAGTCCCATCTTTTTGTCACACAAAGTCAAATTGACAATACATATTGTACAGTTGTTATTTCTGCTATGTATATCTTAGACACATTTATCCAAAGCAAAGTAGACTCATGGCTAAAAAGGGTACCTCTATTATATTAGGAAAGGAGGGTATATATATCCGCAAATGATTTTTTATAAGAATTTTAGAAAAGTTTTAAGTAAATATACTTCGGAGGAAATGAAACATATGGAGATAACAAACAGAATTTAGGACCAAAAGTCCATTAAACAATACAAAATAGGACCAGAGCAAACAGGGACCTCCAAACCATCAAAGGTGGGATCAGGTGCCATAGCGTAGTGAGTATCCCCTGCTGACGGCTTACACCCACCGTGTGTTCCTTGTCGTGATCGGGAAATAACGGAAAAATCAGTCGTCAATTCAGTGTATAAATAATGGAATAACAATTAGTATGAAAAACGTCAGTCAGCATTTGACTCAATGAACATTCTGCGGTTGATTCCTGTGAACTTGAAGAATCTGATTGTAGCTAGTGAAATACCTGGAAGGGACGAAGACATTCTGACAGCTTGTCTGATCTCCATATTTGGTGTTGTCTTCACGTGACAATATTCCTCTACCTGTGTGCTGAGGTTGCTGACAACTATGCACAACTCATTGCCATTTTTCTCATATAACTGTAGAAAAAAAATGGTAAAAGGTTGCTTGTAATCGAAATTAATAGATCGAAATAGATGATACTTTGAAATCAGTTGGTATCGATCGTGCACTTTAACTGTTTAGATACTTGTATATTTAAAATAAAGATATGAAAGTATCTAAAAGGCAATGTAGATAACCTCTTTGAATGTCACTGTTTTGGGGAAACCAATTTTTTCAAATTGGGTTCCAATCCACGTAAGGAATTTATTTCCAGAATGCATTCCAAAGGAAGAATCTCTATAGGAACAAGCCCCACAAAGGAGGTTGCACAAGCCACACAAGGAGAGAAAGCACGAGTTAGTGCGACCCATACAATCTTGGCAACACAAGCAGCAACAAGTGCAACCACTACAGCATCGATCATTGCAGCTACATGACTCACAGCAACAATCTAAGTTGAAATATGAGTAATATTAAATATAACCTAGAGGTATTATGAGTAATGAGCTCATTAAATGATGCCCCACCCCTCCGATATGATTTAAATAGCAAAGTCCATGTTTTGCTTTGAGAGACACAAAATAAATGTCAGAGATCAAAAGGTAAAATATGAGACGCGCAATGGCATTATGTGAAAGAAAAATTTAAGAAAGTATCATTAAATCTTATTCGGTATTATAGGAGGAGTTGTGGATAGGAGATGTCATAAAGAGAAGTGCAGTGTCCATGTTTTGCCATTGGAAATTCGATGTTGTTTTGCTTTTTAAAAGAACACAATGAGTCAAACTCATGTCTTTCTTTTAAGATATCTGTGGCATACAGAGAAAGACTTATGAAAATTTTGAGTATATGGCAAAGATATGACAATTTAACTGCAAGAAAAAATTGTACGAGATAAGTGCCGGAAAAACAAAGGTTATATCTACCGTTTTGTTCTTTTCGTGTTTGTCAAGGTCACAACACTTTTAATTTTAGCTCAAACTTGTATACAACATTCAACTGGAGCATGCATAGGTGAGAAATATGTTCTAGCAACGTTTTAAAAGATTGCCTCTAATTTTTTTGGCCTACTGACATTCATTCCTGGGTACTTGAGACCATGGTAACTATTGAAACTTATTCAACTTTTTCTACACACGCGTACAATGGGGTAGAAGAAGTATTGAGCAATATTTTCGGTCTAAGGCATACTAAAATTAATTTTAATTTCATTTTTCCCCTTAAAAAAATAATTTTTAGGTTCTGAAACCCGTAATTTTCTAAAACCTAATACTTAAATTAGGAATTGAACAAAATTAACAAGGGTCAAGCAAAAATTCTGCATTTATCAATTTTCCTCTTTGTGCGTCACAGTGTCGCTTTAAGTAAAATCACGGTGTGTTAATAGTGTAGGGAGGTCCCTGGATCACTCAATATTATTTTTTTTTAAAAGAGCATTTATCAGCAATGCACTTCCTTCCGTCTCTGCAATACTTTTCGTATACGTAAATTGGCGTATTCAAAATTTGGCGCAATCATTGGGTATTGAGTAGCTTGTGTATTCCTAAATTAGCGCTACACACTTCCGCGCCGTATATTGTGTCATACATCTAAAGAAAAGCTGAAGGTCTATGATTGTACTGATATATAATTTCCTAGCAGCCATCATGAATCCCGCTGTTAAGAACACACACAGACACTATCTGTAAAATATTTTTATATTCTTGAAAAAAAAAAACCCAAACAATTAAAAGTATTGTGTAAATGACAAACGTACGAGTTGAAAGAAATAAACTGTTTTTTCTGCATGTGTTATTGTGAACAACGCAACCCAACAAACCTCAAAACATATTTGTCTAAAAGAAAAGAAGTGAAACAAAAATGTTTCCCATTTAAGAGGGGTATATCACAGAATACTATCAGTCTTACGTTGTACAGTTTGGTTATAGAGTTTCAAACTGCAATATCAGCATTAATACCACCTTTTATCATGTACTCCATATTGGTTTTCAGGATCTCTTCGACATGTGGGACCGTGCAATTCATAGCGAGAATTGCTGCAACTAAAGAGCCAATGCTAGTTCCAGCAAATCTTTTCACATTGGACAAAATTTCAGCTTCTTCCAGTATCTGTTGAATAAATAATGTATAAATAGTTTGGGCTATTTTTAAATTATGTTGGCTTGCCTTCCCCCGACTAATTTTTTGACTGGATAAAAGGAATAAAAAAAAATATAAACGTGTTCTTGAATGTAAAATATGTTTTGTTAATCAGTCGGTCGGGAGAGGGCAACCAAACCATTTTTTTAAAGACAGCCTTGCGTAAAGCTATTGGCAACCGAAGCTGAACCTTGATGTTACCCTCCACAACATGTATTTATCATATGATACTGACTATTTTTTGCAAATACAAATAAAGGTGCAGTACTCACACAGTCAACTTATTTAAGAAAAATCACGCGTAGTCAAGCAATGTTGACTGTTGCTACTTTCTTTCACTCTGTAGGACATAGAAATAACAGTGCATTTAAAATATTAAAAAATTTAAGGAAATTTGACCGACACAGGGCCTCGACAAGACTGACGTGTTATTGGTATATAAATAAACTCATCCTTGCGCTGATCCAAAATATTTTTTATATAAGTCTAATTTGAAGGACCCGCAACTTTATTGTGCAGAGTGCAAGGCAAAGGAACAGTTGGATTCTCATTTCATATGCAAGTTTAAGTCGAATCAATTTCAAAGAAGTTTTTTTCAGTGAGTCTTTGTTTCTCAACAATTTATCTAATACAAGTAAAATTTATGCAAAGCATCAAGCCTAACAGAAACAAAATTAAGCGTGTACAAGAAAGCAACCAATGAACGCACAAGATTTTCGAAGTTGAAAGAACGAGTAACATAAATCATTTAATCGAGAATGCATAAAAAAACTAGAGGAACTGTGTGCACTAGAGGAAATGTGAGCACTGAGCTCACTAAATGATACCCCCGCCTCCCATATAATTATGATGGCAAAGTCCATGTTTTGCTCTGGGAGACTCGAAATGAGTGTCAGATAAAAAAAAATAGGAGGTGCACAATGGCATTATGGAATAATCTGCGAAAGTATCATTGTAATATATATTATCTTGTATGGGAGAAGTTGCGAGTAAGAGATGGATACCCTTCAAAATTATAGAAAAAATGGCAGTTTCCATGTTTTGGTATTGGAAACCAAAAATATGTGTCGGATCAAAAAGTAAAATAGGAGGTGCACAATGGCACCGTGTATCAAAGACTTAGTAAAAGTCTCATTTAATAAAAATAGAGTTACTGTACAAGAATAAATTTTTAGCAGTGTATATCCGATTTGGATACATAAAAGCTCTAAGAAATTTTAAGAAAATTTGAAATCACAAAATTTTACAAAAATCATAAACATAAAAATTCATGACTTTTATCACTTTATACAATCATTCCACACAATAGATAAAAGTCAAGCTTTTTGAAATCAAAGACAAGCTGCTTTTCAATAAAAATATAACTCGTAAATATACTCACTGTCCATTTGCAAAATTATTTTGTTAATCATTTTGATTGTACACGCAAGTACTCTGAAGTTCATATTAAAAAGATGCTTGAGTGTCTTTTTGACAATATCTGTGAAGTTTTTGGAAATCAGGTCTCCCAACAATCTGTTTGAATTCATTGGAACCAATTGCGCTCTCAAATAGCATACCTTTTTTTATTTATATGCAACAGAATTTATGGGGGAAATTTTTCGACATGATAAGAAGTGAATATTCACTTGCTGCTCCAAGTCTTCAAGTCGACCTTTAGATATATCGAAGACGTTTTATCAATTTTCGATGGTTGAAAGATGGAAATGAAAAATTAAATAAAATTATACACAAGAGTAAAACCTAACTATATACACCATATGACAATGATACTAGTAAAATAAGTGAAACAAACAACAGAAGTTAAAAAGGAAAAAAATATTGCAAATGGCAAACAGACATAAAATGTATACATATTTATGGAAATGTTAAAATCAAAATATAAGTATATGTTATCAAAATATGAAGAAGTTGAATTAAAATGCATGCATGCTAGATCTTTATGATTTATATGTGCAATAATATTATTTAATGCTCCGTTTTCTTGATTCTATGGAAATCGGTTAGTTTCAACTGTCAAGTAGAGAGTTTATCCGACAGCTGCCAAATAATTATTTGGCCAGATAAATAACAGGCGGCCACCAGAAAATTATTTGACGGCCGCGAAATAAGATATTCTTCTACATAGCACCTTCCGGTTTCCGTATGATTCCGCCTTTTTTTTTTTATATGTTTCTGATGTTTTCAACCATCCAATATTTTTCTTGTTTTTATCCTTTAATAATTCCTAACATGCATCCTGTATTTCTATTTCTTTTCCCCTGAAGTATTTTAGTTGTTATTCTGATAAAATCAAGGTCACTCAATCCTGACCGATTTTTTTGGTGCATACTTATCACATGGAATTATATTCTCTCACTTCGTTCGTCCGAATATAAATTAATTAGGTGTGCTAAATAATCAGAAATTTAATAAGAATTAAGTCAATACTAATTATGTGTTTGCAACACCAATTGACCAAATCAAATGTCCATAATTCTGCACACCGGATCATTCATTATCTAATCGAGGACAAGTTATTCCTGGATCCACAACTACACAACCCGGATTTAAATATACTATGGTATATTATGTATTATCTTTACATTTAAGAGAATAAAGTCATTGCTAAATTGTCCTTATTCAATTATTCTCGAAATGAAAAGCATAAGCAAAATTTAAAAAAAATGCTGTATACCTTTATAACTCCTCCATAGGCAGCACCCATTGCGCCTCCTCCGCCAAATACCAGATTTTCTATTTTCACTAAATTTAATTTATGTTAAAAAAGAATAAATGTGTAACTTTATCTTATGGCATAATTGCAAAATACATGTTCCTAAATATTTTTTCTGATCAATTTTTCTATTTTCAATAAATTTATTATTAAAATTTAATGTGTAGTACTTCATATTATAGCAAATTCGGGTAATACCACAATTTAATCAGTTTTCAAATTTCATTCAGTTTTAAATATATATGTACAATACTTCATCTTATGTCATATTTGAAAAATACATAAATGCTAAAATATTTTTGAAAACAATATTTCTGCAAAAAAAAAAAAAAAAAAAAAAAAAAAAAAAAAAAAAAAAAAAAAAACGGAATGTACCTTGATCTTTTACTCCTGGTCTTGCCATTTTGATACCTAAAAATAATTAATGACCCAAAGACAATAAAAATAAATTATGTTTCTCTTAAAAAAAAAACCGAATTTGTTCAAAAAAGCGAAATATAAATCAAAACTAATACTCACGTGTTGCGAAATACGTCTTTCTGATGTTGAAATTTTACTCTACATTAACCCCTGTATGAATTAAATTTATTGAACAGTTCCTTATATATGATAATCGAGATGCATAATAGTTTCCTTAATTCCGCTTTATTACATGTAACACAAGTTTAACTCGGAATATTGTTATTTAGTTTAAGTGCTTATTATGCTCTGATTCAAAGAATAGTACATTTGTCTAGGTTTTTGTAGAATTTCTGCAATTTAATATTTAATGTACCTATCTACCTACCTAGTCCTTGTTACACCTGGAGGCAGATAGTGCAGGTACTAAAGATTTCCATCCCCTTTGTCTTGACTTGCAACTCTTTTTAATGTGTCCTTTCCAAAACAAAATCGATATTCTTTTTTTCATTTGGGGGGGGGGCATTTGTTTTATTTATATTATAGGACGTTACCAATACAAATTGTATTAAATTAGTTATAATGACATTTTACAACAACTAGCATAATTGACTTAGTCAAGAAAACTTAATATTGAAAGCACACGTTACTTGATAAATTTGATTTATACCTCCTCTTTTCCAACTGCTTAGAAAAAGGACAAGACACATTTTGTATATTGAAGTTGTATATTTTATTGATCATAATAAAGGTTTTGTTCAATTAAAAAAGGTAATGAATATATGCATTAAAAAAAATCCAACAAATATGGACAATTGGTTTTAACACATAAAAATTTCTTACATCCATTTATAATGAGACCAACAGAACACAAACTCTGTATTAACTACTGTTTGCCAAAACTCTTTGTTTTAAAGGTATATACCGTTTTCTGTATAAAAACATATTCAAAACCAAGAATTAAAGAGTTAAAATACATAGAGTATACGATGTAATATTTGTCTTACAATAAAACCTTCTAACCTTGCCAAAGGTGGGATCAATCCTCTACAGTTGAAAAGATCATGTATATTATAAAGCACATTTTTGAACAACATTTTCTCTATAACTAACATAACTGCCGTAACTCTAATTTACAATTTTAAGTAAACAAATAACGTCAACTTGGTCATATGTCTTATGTAATGAAGTACGACTTAGGAATTTAATATAATACTTTTTAAATAATCAATAATAAATTGATAAATTTTAAAATATGGTGTTTTTTCTTTGGAATGTGTTTTGAATAAAGCTGAATTGGGCATGTGAAGCTCTGACAAATGCAATCTCTAATAGTTGAACATAATTCAGTGAATACACCGGCATAAGAATTAACGTTTCAGTGTCTTTTAGATTTGACTTTACAAACGCAAGTCCCTTATTACGGTACGTGTTTGCAGGATAAAGAAACTGCATTGCTGAAGGGCCCCGAGTGCTGAGTATATGTCCAAGTTGAAAGCCCTTCATCAGTATTTTGTGCCGCTCATGGGTGAAAACATCTTCTAGAGAGACGTAAAGCAATGCTCAGTCAATCTTTCATACAACTCGTCTTGTGATGCACTCATAATAACTGTTTCAATTTCGATCTTTGAACATTACAAACTGCCTGAGAAAGACCTCTTTCTAATTGTTCTGGGGCATCAAACCCCTTTTTTAAAGCTAACACCAAGAATAGAGATGTCAAAAAAGGCTAATATTACAAGTATATTGCATATTGACTACACTACACATTTTCGTAATGATTTTATAATATGTCTGAAAGAAAGTATTCCGAATAAACTTTGGTACATCAATTTAATACAAAAACATGTACATTGAGTAATGGAGGACATCTTAATTAGTGATTTCGAGAGAAAAATCAACGATAGCAAAATCACTTCAGTGAGTAAATGAATAAAATTTATGCTATTAGAAAAATGGAGGAACCTTATGTGACCAAACGTCAAATTTGCTTTATTAAAAAATTCGTATAATTTAGCAATAATGATTACGAAATATTTAATTTTATTCTCAGGACGATCAATCACTTTCATCCCAAAATATCAAGATAGAAATTATACAGGCACGAATTAAAGATGCCAAGGAAAACAGTGGCAACTGAGGCTGTTTTCAACAGTCCTATGTTCTTTTTTATAGGTTTCCAAAAAATCGTTCATCGCTTGTTTTCCACACTGCAATGACAATCAAATTGCAATCAATCAGGATTAAAATATATGTGCAAAATTATGTAAGGCATCGAATAAGCATAAATATATATCTATAAAATTACCTTTATCAGAAAATCTTTGTCAGCCTCTTCCATGTTAAAATCGAGAGCCGTGATGTGTTTTGTGTTTATTCCGACCGTTCGGTCTACATCTGTGAACTGTCAAGTTAAAACAAGATAAATACTAAAGAGGAAGAACGTTATAATGTGATTGAGCTTAGATGTCTTTGAATGCAAACATATAACAATATATTGAAATACAACCCCACAAATAAGAAGTGTCAACAAAATAATGGTTACAAAGTCATATTTTCTTTTGTAGACAGAAGAGAGTACATGAAATTAGATTCCCACGAACCTGCAAAATTTATATTATCCACAAAAATTGGACCAAATGAATTAGTTAATGAAATGATTTCCTTGTGATTTTGTTACTAGAAAACGATGTAGACTTATATATGTTCACAAAATCATAATTTATCAGAGTGAAATGGAAATATATTACCTTCAGATTGATCCGGCTTGAATTTGTAATCATTGTACTTGTTAGGGAGCTGAAGAACTCTTTCGTTGTCCCAGAAGGTGTATAAGAGAAACCACTGTACCATTGATCAATGCTGTATCCCGTCCTCTTTGTAATGAACCGACTTATATCCGTGAATTCCAACTACACATGCAACATTAAAATAGACACTTTTATACTAAGTCTATTTAAAAGTAACCGTACAAAGTAAAAGATTTAACTTAAACAGAATATATAACTTTGAAAAGAAATAGTTCAGTAAACTATCACATCAGTTAATTATACGTTTTCACTTTCACTTTTGTTGTGTGTTAAATCCTTCCAAACATCTCCGGGAGTTGCTTTGGATCCAAATAAAGCCCCAAAAACATTTCCATTATGTTTTTTAAACTAAATCATATCGGACATGTTTTAAGTAAAGAAAACCACTCCATTCTGTAAGTTAAAATCTTTCAATTGCATTTTATTTGAAAATAATATATTTTTTTTTAAATTTCACTTCTACCTTTTGTAGTCCGTCAATGAAGGCTGACTTATTTAATTTTCCCTCCTTCTCCTTAGTCTCAACAAACTTAAAAGAAATTAGAAAATAATTTAGTGTTTCTCAATCACCTAAACACATCCTCAACCCCCTTCACACACACACGCACCCTCACACACATACCCTCACACCCTCACCCTTTCCGTAACATACACACACCCCCCCCACACACACACACTTAGAGAGAGAGAGAGAGAGAGAGAGAGAGTGTGTGTAAGTAATGTCCATGGATATATACCTCTAGAAAGAGGGTTAAGTTGTCTTCCATTGTTTCAATACTGCCTTTATTTAGGGACACAAATTTTCTAAAAAAAAATATTTTTTTCTTTTGATTTTGAACTTAAATTAATATGCAAAACTTGAAACTGGATATGGTTGAACCAAATTTAAACTTAAACTTGTACATGATAATGAAAAAGGTGAAGGTAATAGACAGTAGTCAATTGTCTGAATTCTTCCAACAGTAAAGAATTGTGAACTTATCAAAAACATGGACCCCTAAAACATCAAAGTTATGGTTGTTTGTTTAATTGTAAGTTTTTTACACCCCCTTAGAGATTCTTTCACTACTGTAATTAAGACACGTCACCATAAACATATGAAGGGCTTCAAATTTTGACCTTTACTTATCACTCAGGACCATTGAGTAGTGAGGGAAGACTTCATCGTGCCAACGCTTACCACAACACGAGCTACATTTATACTGCCAAAGAGGAACTCTAATACCCTTTTACAATGAAGCGCATTGAAGTGGTAAAATTTTCCGTTTGACTGGAACGTTTTGAGCTATCTTTGGAACGATGATCGTCATACAATGACACGCCCATTTCTTTAGAAAAGAAAAATCGGTCAGATGGTTCATTCGAATACCTGTAGACCAGGTATTCAATGCCAATTTTTCAACAAAAATAATTTATAGTGTTATAACTCCAATAAACATGATAAATTAATAATTATTGACAAATTCTTTGAAATACGTGCTTTACAGAAGCAGGAACTATGTAACTCTCTCTCTCTTAAAACTTTAAAAATCTCCATTTCGGTGTAACTTATGTTGTTTGTCAAGTCAAAAAACAAATATTTCTTATTCGTAAAGAAATCTGTTTCATCCAAACAGAAAATTTTAAAAGTCGTTGTTTTTCAACAAAAAGAATTTATAGGTGACCAATCATAAGACAAAAACAAGAAAGTTATCATCAAAAGATAAAAGTCTTGACGAAAGTTATCATCACTTGACGAGATAGTTATCTTGATTTGCATGCTATACTATATTGATAAATATGCCACCATACATCTGGAACATACAATGGACTCGGAAAAGTTTCGGAATCCGGTAGAGGTATAATCAAAACATCTACCAATGGACTTAAAGTTCAAAAAATATTTAAAACTGGGAGGTGGTTTTTAAAGAATTTCATATTTTAAAATTAAAATATATGTTGGGTTATTAAACTTATTAGCTGGAACACAATCACATTGTCATGGGGAATGGTTTTTTTTTTCATTTCAAGTTCATTGAAAACTATTACAAACAATATTTTGTTAAGTTTTGTTTACCTTAACCAAGTAATATGAAATTTACATGGTAAAATAACAAAAACAAATATATGCAATCTCTGCTTCTTTTCAAATTATATATCTATATGTACATATTAGTATTAGTTCTACCTTGAAAGCTTGGTATCAGAGCAAAGGCGTCGGAACCGGGAGGGGGCTTAGCCCCCCTCCCACTTTCTTGGTATGAAAATATAGACATTGAACTTTAGGGCATATGTATAGCCCCCCGACATTTTGAACAGTTATGTTGCAGTTTAGGTTCAAAAGGGGTATAAGTGTTAGTGTTTGAAAAAATGATATTGAAGGAAGTTCCACTTATGGAAGGAAGTCTCTCTCCCACCCCCCTCACAAGATAAGATGATAAGATTTTCTTGTTCAAAATACATTTTTTTCTGTTCAATGCTTAGTGTCTATTGTTTATTCAGTTGATTTCTTATCGGTATCCTAATGCATCTTGGTAGCTAGGCTTCTATAACTAAGATTAGCATGCTATGTACCTTTTAAGTTTGGAATCAATGTTGGCAAACTCTTTATCCAAAGATTTTTCTGAATCCGTCAAAGGTTCTGTTTCATTACTTCTTTCTTCAATTTCAGTTGTGTTTTGTTTTATAACTGATTGCCTTAAAAACTGACCAATTATTTTATTACCATGTGTTGCTATATATTGTTTTACAGTAATGTGTTTCCCAAATGAATTGTCTTCGATAAAGTTCACTTTCCTTGTCTCCAAACTACATTTATATTTTAAGACATAAAAAAGAAAAAAAGAGATACATTAAAATAGTCAAAATAAGATTTAAATGTACAATTAATTAATTAATTAAAGGTTCATTATTTGTGTTTTGTTTTATTACTGATTGCCTTTTAAAAAATGAAATAAACGATTACACTACTAGTATGTCTTACCAATACAAAGCCAAGTGTTTTACACAGGGGACCGTCTTTATCAGCTTTAAACCTTTCTTTGTAAATATCTGACTTCGATGCAATATTTGTCAACTTTCTAAAGAAGGAATGTTCAGGTTTCATTGAAAGCCACCAGCCTGCAACATTTCAAACATGTTTAGATCATTCTCAAGCTTATTGAATGCATAACCTACAACCCGTCGTATATATGAAATTAGAACAGGATGTGTTTGTGATACACGTATGCCCCCAATATATCATGAAGAAAAAAAATTTCCAAAATGCAAGTCTAGCTTCAAGATCAAGAGTTCAAAACTGTTTTACCCAAAGAAAGATCTCGTCACAAGGAATACACCTTTGAAATATAAAAGCCCGAGCATCGACAAAAGTCATACCCAAGGAAAGGTCTTGACACAAGAAACACTCTTGTATGTTGTGAAAGTCTAGATCTAATCATTCAAACGTTATGGTCAAAGTCATGGTTAAGGACAAATCATAACTAGAGGCCCATGGGCCACATCGCTCACCTGAGAAACTTTGGCCATGCTGTTCTTTAACAGATTTCCCCCCTTTGTTATACCAATTGTGACCACGCCCTACCCCCAGGGGTCATGATTTGGACAATCTAGAATCTACACTACCCCATAATGCTTTCACATAAGTTTTAGCTTTTCTTGCCCAATGGTTCTTTAGGAGAAGATTTTCAAAGATTTTTCCTTATATATTTCAATGTAAAATTGGATTCCCCATTATGGCCCGCCCTTCCCCTAGGGGTCATGATTTGGACAATTTAGAAATTACATTATTCCAGGATCCTTCCACATAAGTTTCAGCTTTTTTGCCCAGTGGTTCTTGAGAAGAAGATTTTAAAGTTTTTTCCTATATATTTCTATGTAAAACTTGGATTCCCTATTGTGGCCCCGCCCTACCCCCGGGGGTAATGATTTGAACAATTTAGAATCTACATTATTCCAGCATATTTGCATATAAGTTTCAACTTTTTGGCTTAGTGATTCTTGAGAAGAAGATTTTTAAAAGTTTTTTCCTATATATTTCTATGTAAAACTTGGATTCTCTATTGTGGCCCTGCCCTACCCCCGGGGGTCATGATTTGAACAATTTAATATCTACATTACTCAAGGATGTTTCCACATAAGTTTCAGCTTTTCTGGCCTATTGGTTCTTGAGAAGAAGATTTTTTTTCCTATATATTTCTAATTTCCTATTGTGGCCACCCTATTTTTGTATTTTTGAACAATTTAGAATCTACATTATTCCAGCATGTTTGCATATGAAATTTTTTTTTTGGGTGACTTGGCCCTATATATTTTAACAATTTAAATTCCCCTTCACCATATATTTCTTTGAAAACTTGGATTCCCTAAGTTTTGATTAAAATTTTCAGCTTTTCTGGCCTAGTGGTTCTTGACACCCTATTCCTGAAGAAGGGGACTTGAAAATGTTACCAAAGTTTTGCACTATGTTTGGTTAAAACGGACGGAAGTTGAAAATGTTAAAACTACACACACGGACGGACGGACAGCTAGACAGACAGCTAGACGGACGGACGGACGGACGGACGACGGACAACGGGCGATCAGAAAAGCTCACTTGAACTTAAGCATATTCATACTCAAGGAAAGGTCTTGCCAAAAAAAGAAATACACATGCGATGTAGCTCAAACACCAACCGTTCCAAATTGAATGCCAATGTGAAAAGTGGAGAAAATTTTCCAAAAACTGTTCAAATTTCTAGGTAAAGAGGTTAATATATTGGTACAAAGAAAGTTCTTATCAGAACAAATACATGTAGAATATGAAAGTCAATATGAAAGACAAACAGGCAGACACTTTAGGCACCAAATCTTCGGGATCATAAAATTAATACATGAAAGGTTTACCATCAAAGCAGAAGACTGGATAGTTGCACAGCAATCCTCCATCAACATATGCTGCTTCCCTACCAGAACAAACGTTTATCATCCGTACTTCTTCAAAAACCACTGAGAAATATGAAAAAAGAAGCCAGTTTATAGTGATTAGTAAGTAAGTAAATATTTTATTATAGTTACATGTGTATAGTTTTCCACAACAAATAGATACAATATTAACGTATATACATTGCATCCGGCCCATTGGACCTACTCGTATATGTCACTTTAATATATGTACAGTATTTCCATAATCATTTAAAGATAGCGCGCATGGTTGATATTAATTTGATTAATATAGATATTTTTATCTTAGTGGAAAACATAAATTTAAAAATTTGGCAATTTGTCTCTGATGAGTTTTCATTAGTGTTTGAATTTTAAACTGGAGCTACATTTCTATTTAAATTAACATTATGAAATAAGGTGTTGCAAAAAATATAGTGAGTATTTCATATATGCAATGGCCCTTGAGACTCTGAGTCTATAATAATTCATTAAATTATCAAATACTAGTACCTGGAATGGACATAGACATTCTGATAGCTTGCCTGATCTCCATATCTGGTGTTGTCTTCACGTGACAGTATTCCTCTATCTGTGTGCTGATGTTGGTCACAACTATGCACAACTCTTTATATTTTTTTTCATGTTCATACAACTACAATTATGTTTTTAAACAAATTGGAATTTACTCGTGGGTAAATCATGAGTTCGAATAAAGTAGGAGATAAACACAAGACCAATAAAACTAATAACAGTTTCTCATTGGCAATATATAATGTTAGAAAACACCATTATATCATACATTAAATCGTTTTCTTTAATTAATTTTAACAAACTAAACATCCTACCTCCTTAAACGTTACTGTCTCCTTGAAACGAAGCTCCTTAAATCGATTTCCTATCCATGTTTTGAATTTTTTCCCAGTATACATTCCAAATGAGGACTTCCTGCACGAAGACGACTGGCATAGCAGATTGGTGATACCACAACATGTGAGAAAGTAGGACTTAATGCGACCCATACAGCCTCGGTAACAAGAGCAGCAGCAGGAGAAAACACAGCAACAAGCATCCGTACAGGTACATAATCCACAGCAACAATCTGAATCAAAATAGCATAAAGCTATTAAAGAGTGATGTTGTGAAAAATATAGATACCGCAAGCTTTGTATAAGGAGATGTAGCGTGATTAAGAGGGATTTAACTTGTTCTGTTTAGATCTTTTAAGGTAAAAATAGAAAAAGGGCCGGAAAAAAATTGTTGTCGTTGCTGAGCGCCTCGTCAACATCAATATTTACATCGATAATGTATTTGGTCATATGATCATTATCAAATATTTAAGTTAAATTTTAGAAATTTACTTTCCTTCATTTTCAAAATATTTTTAGAACTTGAGATAGGATACCATATTAATACCTTTCAGTAAATCATCAAAGTTAGTCTTCATTAACTGTTGAATTTTTTGCACATCGCATCCCATTGCAAGAAGCGCAGCAACAATGGATCCGGCACTGGTTCCTGCAAATCTCTTAACGTAGCTTAGTATATTTTTCTCCTTTAGAACCTGTTAGAAAGAAATTCTTCTAGTATTTAAGTGTTTCAACTGACGCATAAGCATTTCGTTTTGTATTGCCTGTTTGTTTTTGTTCGACATCTGAGAAGATCAACAAAGTTAACAAGAAATGGATTCGATTGAAGCAAAGATTACTAGTGTCAAAACGTTTCATTTACCTCGATAACACCACCATATGCAACACCTTTCGCCCCTCCTCCACTGAAGACGAGGTTTTCAATTGCCTTTACTAAAAGTAAAGAAATTCTTAATGAGATAAGTTTAATTGAATTTGATTAGAAAAAAGCCCTACATATCTACAAGATTTCGCACATTACCATCAAAAACCTTTTGTCCTTCAGTCTCCATATTATCACTACCAACACCTTTCTGTCCTTCAGTCTCCATATTATCACCACCAACACCCTTCTGTCCTTCAGTCTCCATATTATCACCACCAACACCCTTTTGTCCTTCAGTCTCCATGTTATCACCACCAACACCCTTCTGTCCTTCAGTCCTCATGTTATCACCACCAACACCCTTCTGTCCTTCAGTCCTCATGTTATCACCACCAACATCCTTCTGTCCTTCAGTCTCCATATTATCACCACCAACACCCTTCTGTTCTTCAGTCTTCATGTTATCACCACAAACACCCTTTTGTTCTTCAGTCTCCATGTTTAATAATCCTGCAATATTTCTAAAACGAAGAAGACTCACCGGCTATAACGCTAGATTGGAGGTTGAGGTCATATGTGACATCAGATGAAAGTCTCTAAGCGGCAATTAACAATACAAATGTTGAAGCAGAGCAAACGCGGACCTCTTAATCATCAGAGATGTGATCAGGTTCCATGGAGGAGTGAACATCCTCTGCCGAACGATAACACCCGCTGTGTGCTCCTTGTCATGATTGGGGAAAAACGGAAAAGGGAAAATCCGTTGACAATTCAGTGTGTTAATAATGCCCTAACAATTAGTATGAGAAACGTTAACCAGCATTTGACTAAATAAAAAATTTAATTTGCCGGCAAGATCATTGTATCGAACTAACGAATTGACGAGTCTGCTAATATTCTTGTTTCATCAACTTGTTTGTCAATAACTTACTTCGTTTTAGAACTTGTTTATACGTAGAATATGCATTTGTGTATCGAATCAACTGCGAGACATAAACCCCGTATGCATGCGATAAAGATATGTACATGTACTAGTACTGCTGCATAAGTAAGGGAAATTGACGATTAAAAAGTTAAAGCCATCATGTATATCATTAAAACTGAAACTATAGTTAAAAAATAACTTCTTTTTCTAGTAAAATATTTTAAAATAAAAAAATATGTGTCAGTCAAATAAAATGAATTCTTCCTTACTTCCCCACCTTCTTCCTCATGGTCTGTCCGAAAAAAGTCTTGTTATTTGTCCAATCGAAAATAAAGTTCTTTGTCCATACTGCAGAACAAATTATATTATGAATGTTAATAGAATATATAGGTATGCAGTACATGGAAAGAAAACAAAATGAGTGAAAAACAGCATATGATTTGTTTTATTGCCTTGCTGTAATATCACTATCACAATATAGAGTGTAAACTTATCTATTTATCATAGATTATTTAATCAATGCAGGGAAGGGATATTCGCTTACAAACATGTTAACTCTGCCAGCATTCTCAAGCCAGGCATCTTTAGTCCAGTGTTGTCATTGTTTTGATGCTTTTTTATGGTGACCATTTTATGTTTATAAAAGATTTGGTTGATTATCGTTTATTTTGAATAGTTTTAGACTTGTTATTATTTAAGAGGCCTGCAGATTTGAATTGTTGGCTGTTGACACCTTATATGATTAAGAGGAGTGTTTAAATTGTTTAAAAAATGCTTATTCAATATCATAAATGAAAGAAAATGTACGGCTATCAATGTCGTGGTAATTTAATATAACGGTACTGGTAATACTTTCTGTACTGCAAACATGGTTGAAATTATGCATACTTTGTTTAATTGACAAAAAATACCAAATCATAATTATTCTACGTACTATGTGTATTCCTGTCCCATAATAAGACGAGGCGAAAACTTCGTGTAAAGAAATGTGTTAAACATTCCGCCATCGATATCCCGTAATGAGACGCAGAAATTTAACTGCCACACCCAGTGTTACATGTATCAAGTTTGAAGCTTAAATGACTTAATTACCCATATAAACTAATTAACAAGGTTCAAATGAAGCTAAATTCTATCCTTATACTTCAAAAACATTTAAGGTACAGTAAAACTCGGTTATAGCGAACACACTTATAATGATTTGAAAAATGATTTTCATTCCCTGTTACTTTATTATGCATTGTTAACATAACGTACATATATGAATTCCGCTTGTAACAAAGCAAAACCAGTTATACTTGGCACTTTGTGCTGAAATGTGAAAGAAACTCTGTGGATCAATTTGAAAAAAAAATATTGTCTAGAATCGAGATAATACTAAAAGTGAGGAGGAGTTTTTGAGAAAAAGAACACTTTTGTAATTATTTTGGGGTTCTCTCCCTTCCGTAAAACAATTTTCTAAGGTAATAAGTCTTAACATGTGAAACATTTTTATGTTAACCCACCTTGTTGATCTTTTCTTCCATTCGAGGCCGCCACCCGACATAACGCATGACTGCCACCCCGAATATAGCGTTCTACACGGTGAGTCTTGCAAAATCAAGTTCGGAATGTTTTTAACAACTGTGCCACATTTTTTCCATGAATTAAAAATCCGTGATATATAGTGCATAACAAACATGTACCTATTTAAAGGTAAAGTTCTGCGTATTTTGTGAAAGAGAAAAATGAATGTCATGGTTGTTCTTGGAAATTTATGACTGATCTTTTCTCTATGGGTTTTTCCTCAATTAATTTGAAACTTCATTCATTCATTCCATCTTTATTTCCTCTTTTCAGAGCTTTTACAACTCATATAGTTTACATGTTAAAGATCATGTTATGTTAGAAACTACGGAAGCCCATTAGTGCCAACCTGTATATATAAAGGAAAAGCGGTATATAAAAGCAAACCTCTATATATAAAGGAAATGCGATATATATAAAGAAAACCTCGAGATATATATATATATATCTATCTATCTATCTATCTATCTATCTATCTATCTATATATATATATATATATATATATATATATATATATATATGTGTGTGTGTGTGTGTGTGTGTGTGTGTGTGTGTGTGTGTGTGTGAGAGAGAGAGAGAGGGTGTGTGTATGTGTGTGTGTGTAAAGGAAATGCGTTATATATAAAGAAAACCTCGATATATATAAAGGAAATGCGATATATGTATCACCGTGGCTTGGGGACTATGGTGATAACAAATATTGCTAAACCTGAAAAACAGGACAGGAGACAGTCTTAAAATTAAAGCTGTTTATTCGAGGTTGTCCGTCGCAAAAGTGATCGGACAAAAACCCGATAGCGTCCCCTGTCCAGGTGTTGAGTTATTCTTGCCACTAATTGTTACAAAAGGGCGTTAATCTAAAAGGACTCATACTCGACATCAAACGAAAGATTAACAATAGGGTTTTACGGCAAAATACGATTTAAGTAATTAAAAAAACAAAGTTCCATTTGCGGAAAACTAAGAAAAGCCTAGATTTTACACGAAAGGATGACACTAATTGATTTCACAACTTTTCTCAAGAAAACTGACATATGGCCTCAAGTTATTATTTCTTCTAAATCCTAAGCCGTGAAATTTATTGCAGTAAATAAAAATACTAACTGGTAAATAAAATTAATGAAATAAAATAATTTGAAATTGATAATAAATTTAAACTAAATTTATACTTAAAATAGAAAATATATCGGAGGGTCAATTTTACACTATGATAATTCCCTCTTGGTCAGAAAAATCTTTGTCCTCAAAGATAAAATGAAAATTACCCTACAATAGTGGCAAGTTTGTAGATATTAAAAATTATGTATCACTAAAAAAAATTGAACAAATACTAGTATATATAAACAAAACAAATGTTTGAAATCTAAATGGGATTCAAAAAAAATTATTCACATTAATGTATGTACAAAGCATGTGGTAGATATACCAACTGAACAACTCAAAACATAATGTATCTCACTCACACACTTACAAGTAAGTCATGCCCAAAAGGAAAAAATCTTACAGTATTTGAAAATAGTTGTGATGTGACAAAAGAAAATATGCTGTGTAGGGATGCTTCAGAATGTTACGAATTTTCCAAGCTGTAAAAGGTGATATTAAAATGGTAGTTGGTACGTCCATTGAGCGGTTAGTATGTTTGTTAGTGACCGAGAAGTTAGTGCACTGAATGTGTAGGTAATGGAGATCAAAATACGAGGTGGTTATATTCACTGACGAAATGTCCTCAGGGGTCTGTATTGTCCAATTATGTGGACACAGCGGTAGTGTCACCAGCGTAAAGAGTTCACATGTTGGTCCAGTAGTGAGTTCCAAATGGAGGGCTGTTCTGTGCGAACGTTGGAATTTTCGAAAGAGGTGAGCGATGCATGCCAATACGAAGAATGTTGTCAATATGGATAGGGAAACATTTGGCCAAGGAGTGGTGAACGAGGCATAAATGTGCTCATTTATGCTAGGCGGTGGTGTGTTCTGTTGTGCCTCATGGTAGATGAATGATAAGGTTGGTTTAAGTGTGGAAGCCGTTGTAGAGTGGGCCTGATGTAGCAGCAACACTGGAAGCAGGACAGTTCGAATTTTGTAACAAGACCAGATGCTGAATATGAAGCCAAAGAATGCAACGGATGTTGCAATGATGGCTAAAATACCACTTGTGTCTGGCCATTTGTCGACTGCAAATTCCACCTGGCCTGCAATCATAGATTCTGCAAGGTTATTAAACACTTTACCATCACGTCGAACAGCTTTTGCAATACGCTTGAAGCTTAGATGTTGTTGTTTGTCGTTGGCCAAATACTGGGAAAATGAATGGTTGAAGATTTGGAAATTTGGCAATTTGATGTGAACGAATTCTTCAAAGATGGTGTCTCCAAATATAGATGAGTGGGCATCCTTGTCAAAGAACTGCTGGAGCAGGGCTAGATTAATTGGGTGGAGGATGGTAACCTTATCAGTGTTGTTGTTGCATTTTCCCAAACGTGGAGGCAAATACAAGTCATTGCTTGTTACTGAACAAAGGCATGGTATCTTCACAACGCAAAAAGGACAGCCCTTGAGAATTCGTTGACCATTTGCGCAATCTAATGCAATCATTGTTGTTCGGTACAGCAGTAGATGCGAGGGTGACAGTTCGTACATGGCAGTGGGAAGCATGTTAGTCAAGAAACGAAAGTCACATATTTTGTTTACTGCTTCTTTGTGATTGAAGAAGACTGCTGACAAACAATTAGGAGATGCCGAGGCTGTCAGTGCAATGTTGAAATGGCAATAGAGAGTTGTTGATCCCTTGCACTGTGCCAACTGTTGTGACGTAATGGTGGCATAATGTTGATTGTCCTCTGTATTCAAAAAGTAGGGTGGCATGTTCATAAGCTGAGTAGCATGATTGGAACTCGAGTTGACAGGTACTGGATAAGTAATCACCTTGTACACTGAAATAGGTAGGTGGAAGGAGGATATTGGTATTTTCACGGTCAGGTATAAATGAGAATGTTGTCTGGTAAACAGG